AATAAAATAAAATAAAATAAAATAAAATAAAATAAACTGCTGTACCAACCTAAATCCTTTCAATTGGTTAAACACAATTTAAAGAAGTTCATCCAAATTATGTGTCTGGTTCTAGTTAGATGTGTTTAATTCATTAGATTTGTCTCAGATGAACAGTTTAAATGCTGTAGCTTCATTTTAAGGTAGAAAAACTTGAGGTTTCTAATTATTTTTTATTGTCAGTATTATTTCTGGCTGTGTGGTAGATGGATTTAAAAAAAAAAAAAACACCTGCATGTAGAGATAACACCCATATAAAATCTGTTTAATTAAACTAAACATTTTCTTCTGCAGAAAAACCTTCAACTGAAGGCTTTAAAGCACCAAACCCACCCATGGGTGCCCCTCAGATCTTATCCACGACCCTGCAGGACACAACTTTAACATGAAGCTCACAGTAGAGACCAGCAGGAACCTGAAGCTTCAACCCTCTTTACTGCTTTTACTTCGTACAGTTAAACCTCTCAAACCCAAAACTAAAGCCAACCCAGTTAAAACTCACTTGGTTTCTCGGTGGCTTCCTTCACAGTCTGCGTCTTCTCCAGAGAGCCGTACTGCTGAGAGGCTTTCCTCTCTTTGTCCATGATCTTTAGGAATAATAAAAAAAAGAAGATGCTGCTCTTGTCTCTGCAGGAGTAGAAATCAGAGTCTATGAGGGACGGGAAAGGCTTCGACTGGGTCCATGCAGCATCGCAGGAGACGCCGGAGGAGGAGAGCTGAAGCTGAATCCATCCAGTCCTCAAGTGATCGGGTCCGTCAGCACACAGCAGAGTTTATAGCTGCTCTGAGGCGCCACCTACTGACGGAAATGCACCCTGACGCCCAGGAACAATAAGGAAAACCAGATTTAAATCCCCAGTGTGGAGGCAAAATAAGGCCTGGAAGCATTTTAAAGGAAGTGAAGTGATGTTTCAGAGCCTCTGGTTGTAAATCTGAGTGTGAGGAGGCTACAGGCGGGTGGAGTCTGGGAGGTGGTTCATCAAATACGCTCAAGGTGTGACGTTTATCATCCTCACGAGATCAATTCATCACCAACATAGCCAGAGGTGCAAAGTAAGGACGATTTAGAGGTACTTTGCTTCAAGTTTTCCATCTTATGACACCTTCTTCACCACATTTCTGAGGTAAATATCACCTTAACTCAGTCTTGACCTGGACCGGCCCTGAAGTCACTGCTAATGTGAAGTGAGTTTACAAAAAAACACACCAGTGCTCTCGTCAACATGTGGCTCAAAGCTCCTCCTACATTTTAAGAGACATTAAGGATTAAACTAAGCAACGCTCCACCGCTCTGCTGCCGAGGAATCCTCAGCAGGAGTCGCTCATCGTGAATATTTCATCGCGGCCGACTGAGTTCTGCCTCCTGCAGGCGACCGGCCCTCCAGGGGAACGGCCAGATGTGCAGGCAAGCAAACATCTGTCTGATGATTCACACTGCTGGACTGTCAGTCAAATGAGATGATGGAGGAGGACGTGTTCCAGGAATCATGCAGAGCTCCTCCTCTTTCTGCAGGACTGACAGCTGCACGAGATCTTTGTACGTGTCAAGAACTTAATCACCACAATCAGCAGGTCGACAACAAGAATCTTTATTGTGCCTGTGATTTGATTTGGACTGAGGACCTTCATTAGCAGAACGGCTCCTTAAGGATATCAGGAACTCCCAACTAGTCAGTCAGACCTGATGAAGCCTCTTGGATGAGAGGTGGAACGTCTTCAAGGAACTCAAGCAGCTGCTACGATTCATCTACGAGAAGAACCATAACCTGGATGACTGAGTTCTCCTTTAAGACAGGAGGGCTACACGGAGCATAAAGAACGAGGTATGTTCTGCACAAACTCATTCATCCTGTCAAACATTTTCTCATCTAAATGTTCTACCACGCTGCAAGGTGGATCAGTGGTTAGCACCGTCACCTCACAGCTAGAAGGTCGCCGGTTCGCGTCCCGGTGAGGACACCCGGGATCTTTCTGCGTGGAGTCTCCATGTTCTCCCCGTGCAGCGTGGGTTCTCTCCGGGTTCTCCGGCTTCCTCCCACAGTCCACAAACATGCTGAGGTTAATTGGTGATTGTAAATTGTCCGTAGGTGTGAATGTGAGTGTGCTTGGTTGTCTGTCTCTAAGTGTAGCCCTGTGATAGACTGGTTACCTGTCCAGGTGAACCTGCCTTCACCCTGAGTCAGCTGGGATAGACTCCAGTCCCCCATGACCCTAGTGATGGATGGATGTTCTACCAGCGCAACTTCTGCAGAAATAATGGTGAACAAAGATTTTCCAGCTTCTTTAATCAGTGTTTCACTTCACAGCTCAGTGTCCAGAAAGAAGCACAAACATGACACCTGACAGCAGATCATTCTTATTTTCTTTCCCCTGTTGGGCTGCGGTTGAACCGGATGCAGTCCGGCCTCACCCTGAGCACACGGCTTGTGTTTGCGCTCCTCGTAAGAAGCTTCAGTGGTGCTGATCTGCCCATCCCATAATCCTCCTGCCTTGTTTGCTTTATAAAAAAAAAAAAAGAAAGAAAGAAGAAGAAGCGTTTATGCAAATGTACATGAGTAAAGGCTCAGGAGGCCCCGAGATGAATCCTGGAATCCATCAGTGGAGCCCAACGGAGGGACAGAACATTTAAATCAGAGTAATGAGAGTTAAAAGTCAACACGTGGACTGTAATTAAAGCCGTCAGGGAGGGAAACCGATTATCACACTCTGAGCTGGTTTATTAAGAGTGACGTGTGTTTGAGTGAAGCTGGAATCCACCTCAATGGAAATTACTGATAAACGGTCTCTACAGCACCTCAGTGATACCAGAAGAGCTTCACAGTGTGGTTCTGATTCACACAACAAGCTGCTGCCCGCCACTGGAGCAACTTCACTGTCTTGCCCAAAGACACTTTAACTATGGAGGGATAGAACCGCCAACCTGCTCCACCACCAGAACCACAGCCAGTCTCTGCACAGCTTCATGTCCTTCATACTCTGTACAGTTCAGTGCTTGGCTCTCCGTCCGTTTTGCTGGCTGCCTCCGTCGGGCTCCATGGCTTTATCCAGCCAGTCGTTCTCCTGCTCCGACTCCGAGTCGCTGGCTTCACTCGCCTCGGCTGCCAACAGACGGGAGTAGTTGATCCTGCGCTGGCGAGGAGCTTTCCACTGCAGCAGAGGCAGCAGCACACACCACAGCGCCAGAGCGGCCGCCGCCCCTCTGAACAGCCACGCCAGGCCGACCCGCTGCACCACGAAGCCTGCGGCGAAGCTCCCCAGCGCCGCTCCCAGGTGCAGACACAGAGAGCTGTAGACCCTCCTCACGTTCCTCTCCGCCCCGGCCATGGCCACGTCCTCACACTGGACCTTCACCGCCCACCACAGGGCGCCGCTGCCGAAGCAGCTGAGCAGCTGAGCGGGCAGCGCGGCCCACGCTGCCCACAGGAACGAGTAGTAGAGGCACTGCAGCCCGAGCATCGCCGCCCCGACCGCGAGCATCCTCCCCGGGCTGAGGAGCTTGGACACTCGCCCGGCCAGCAGAGGGAAGGCGGCCTGAGAGAGCAGAGCGACGGCCAGCGCCAGCCCCATGTGCAGCTCGCTGCCGCCGTGGTCCTGAATCTGCCACAGGAGGAAGTTGTCCACGGCCGAGCCGGCGGCCCCGACCAGCAGGGTGGTGACGGCGCAGAGCAGAGCGCGGGGGGATCCACGCACCAGCTGCACGGCCTTCAGCAGCCGGTTGGCCCGGTCGTGCTTCCTGGTGATGTGGAGAGGCAGCGACACGGCGGCGGGGAGGATCAGGGCCACCAGGCCGGCGTACATGTAGAAGTGTGCGGCGCTCCTGGGGGTCTCAGCGGCGATGAAGCAGTTCAGCTTGCTGACCAGTAACCCGGCTCCACCGACGCCACACGCCGCCCCGACCAGCCCCCACGGCCCGCTGCTGCTGTAGCGGTCCGACGCGTCCGCAAAGTCCAAATACTCATACAGGCCGTCGTCCACGGTCCACTCCAGGGGGCACGCCACCAACTCCCACAGCACCACGATGAGGAGGACCATGAAGAAGAGCTGGTGCTGAGCGTCCATCGCCTTCAGGCTGCCCAGGAAGTCCGAGCCGCTCTCCTGGTTCTCCCCCTGACCCTGGGTGGCGGCAACCTCGGACCTCGTGTTCCTCACCGAGCTGCTGTTCACCTCTGGTCCCGTTGACAGGCTGCTGTTCACCTCTGGTCCCGTTGACAGGCTGCTGTTCACCTCTGGTCCCGTTGAGAGGCTGCTGTTCACCTCCACTGACGTATTCCCTGTTTTGGAGGGTTCTGCTGGATCATGCTGATGAAGTGAATGATTTCTCGCTGTAACAGGAGATTTCATATCGGGTGCTGCGCTGGCATTAGACGTGACAGCAGACGGGGTAACGGGAGCTTCTGGGTGAGTCTTATTTGACAGCGGTCCAGGTGCAGCAGTGGTGTTCACCAGCAGGTTGGCGTCCACGCTTTTGTTCGGACTGACGCTCAGGTCGGACGGGACACAGCTGCTGACCCTCGTGTTGACGTCTGCGGGCGGCAGAAGCAGCAGCAGCAGAGCGACGGCAGCTGAAGCCACGAGAGACGCGTTGATCACCGCTCGCCTCTTGTTGTAGTGTTTGGACAGCAGAGCGGCCGCCGGGCTCCACACCAGAGACACCGAGTGCTTGGTCCCCATGACGATGCCGGTCATGGCGGGCGTCAGGCCCAGCTGTCTGAAGAAGAGCGTGAGGAAGGGCAGCAGGCAGGCTCGAGCGAAGGAGGACAGGAAGTGGAAGGCGCTCGCCAGAGCGAGGGCGTGTTTGATGTCGATCTGCTTGGTCCGCTTCATGGTTCTGTCTGTAGAGTCTGCTGGTGGCGTCACATGGAGCAACTGGAGGCAGACAGAGAGAAGAGAAACAATAAGTACAGTCATGACTCGATAATCAGACCCTTAACAATCCTAAACCTGCTATCCGACAGGTTTTTAGGAAAAATGATAAAAACAGCCTCAACATAGCGACAGCCTTGGATTCTGACTCCAACATGACATTTAATGTCACCAATCAGGATGACGGCGTATTATCTGACTGAACAATCCCACAGATTGGCTACGTTCACACTGCAGGACTTGATGCTCAATGAGGATTTCTTTGTGACTTCCTTCACGTTTCCAGTTCAATGCGACTTGTATGTGATCTGCTGTGTGAACTTCATACGACCCAAAAGTGTCCCGCATGCGCAGAAGAGGACACGACGACGTCACACGCAGCGAGCGTGCTCAGTGTTTATGGAAGTAAACATGGATGGTAACGGTGGAGCGTATCTGCCACTCCCCCGCCGCCACCGATGGAGGAAACAGAAGTGTGAGCGCTAACTAAACTAGCATCAGCAGCCAAGTACTGCCTGTGTGTTCTGGACACTTCCACCCCGTCAGAGCGCTGCCCCGGGGTGGAAGTGTCCCCCGACCACGCCGAATATTCTGATATTCATCATTAATTGGGCTTGAATATCCAGAGAGCAGAAAGTGCTATTGGGACCAGCCCTACTAGTTATTATAACAACTATGAACAATAAATATTAACAACTAATGAGCCTTCCAGCATCAAGCCCTCCTTGTATCTGGACCTCCATCATGACAATCCGACAGCCTTGATATCAGACATAAAAGAAGGTTTTACATTTAGAGTCATGACTGTACCTGCTTTCCATCCAACAGTGATGCTTGTTAAAGAACCTGATGTGGGATTTGTCAGGAAGCATCCCTGAAAATCACCACAAAGTCGTTCCTCTTTATTCTATGAGTAAACATTTCTATCCTGATGGTGTTTCATAAAATAAAACTGATGTGAATAATTCTCTGTGGCCTTCACATCTCGACCCGGTCAGACAGCTGCAGGAGGGAATCAAGCCGGTGGTCCAACACGTCACTGAGACGATCTGCGTTGACTTTTCCTTTAATTTGTCACCGTGTCTATTTAAAAAGAACCGATGCTTGTTGTTTGCAGGATCAAGATTCCTCCCACTCATTAAATATTCAAGAGACTCGTTTTCATCTGGCTGATTAATGGAATTTAATCTGACAGTGTCAAACAAAATATGAGAAAACGCTTCCAACAACTTCCTACTTCCCGTCTTTATTATCACAAATAAAAAAAAGCAAAACCCCACATTTTAGAGGGTAAAACCACAACATGTTTGGTTTTTTTTCTGAGTAATTGTGCTGAGAAATGATGAAAGACTTCTAACAGAGCCTTTTGATGTCGCAAGTCCTACACAACAAATGAAACACATGCAGTAATTCTAACAGAGAGAAAATCTTTGCTTATTACATAAAACATTATAGTGTCTCACCACTAATACTGACATTATTCTGGTAAATTTAAATAATAAATAGTAGTGCAGGGGTTTAACCTTAATATTATGATGTTCATCTTATTTCTCTTTAATCTTTAATTATCTGCTTGAAACTTATTTATCGTCACCTGTGGATATTTAAACTGATATCTGACATTTGTTTTTCTTGTTTTTGACCAACTTTCAGCACTTTTTTTTATTTTACACATTGAACTGTGAAGCTAAATAACATCTCAGGAGCTACTAAAACATAAAAGCCTGAAGCCTTCACACTTGTTTCTCATCATGACACCGATTCACAATCTGCAAAATGAGAATTTCTCACTAGAAGAATCCAACCGATCTGTTCATCTGGTTGTTTTATGCAGATCATCCTGAAGACGTATGAGGTTCACGCAAAAATTAAAAACAAACAAAATAAATATATTCTTAGCACACGGTTGTGTTTGAAGAACTCCAGATGACGAGTCGAGTCGTCACATAAATTAAAAGGAAATCTCATGAGTCAGACTCTGGCGGTAAATTCTCTTCCAGTGAACAGATTATGTCACAACGACAGGAAACTGTTCACTCGCTGTCTCTGGGAGACAAAGTGTGGTCTGAAAATTTAAAAAATAAAACCATTCCCATATTAGACATCTATAAAATATATTCTCTAGTTGTATCTAGAACTAGTTCTACTTGGATCAGGAGTTCTAGTGACAGTTTGAACTCCTCCCGGTTCAATCAGGAATTAAAGCTCAATAATTAAAAATATGTTTTGTGATCAAGTATTTCTTATTTAAACTAATTATTACATGTTTTGTATTAATGCAACAAGCAACATATTGTTCAGAAAACATCACCAGCTGACTTTTTTCTTTTTGATAGTGTGTTTACAGATGGGATCATTCATGCCAATTTAATTAAATTTTTCATATTTCAGCTCAAAACTCTTTCATCAACTCGTCCAAATGTGCAGATTGTGAATCAGTGACATGATGAGAGGTAACAGTGAACATTTCAGGTTTTTGTCTTTAACACTTCCTCAGATGTTGTTGTTCAAACGACCTCAAATGTCAGCGTGGAGGAAAGAATGTGGTGAAAGTGAGTCAATGGAAAATAAAAAAACAAAACAAAACAACGATCTGAGGAAGTGTTTGACACGTCAATTTACAATCTAACATATCATTATAAATAATGACTAATAGAAGCACCTTGGCTCAATGAATGTGCTGCATTAATAAAATAAAAATAAACTGACTCCACTGATGTGGTTTTTATTTTAATAGGTTTTGTGTTAAACAGTCACTGAAGTGGTTAAATGAAATTAAATAGTCATTATTATTAGTATAATTATTATAATTAATGATAATAAGGTGTTTCAGGCTCTCAGGTCGTTGGATTCTTACTTGATTATAAAAATAATTTCCTTTCTGCGGCTCCTTCAGGGAACCAGCTCCACAGAACTTTTATTTCTTTAACCAGTGATCCTGATCCTCTGGTTGTTCATTTACTGACCTGCTCAGATAAAAACACAACTTCTCACACAATCCCCTAAACTTGTGAACACTTGTGAACACTTTCACGCGCTTCCTGATGGCAGCAGCAGCACGAGGAGCGGAGCGGCGGTGACTCACCTGCAGCTGCATCACTTCCACGTCACAACAAGTTCACAAGTCCAGAAGAACAACAAGAAGAAACCAGATCATCTCTCACCTTTAACTTCTAACGTCCTTAAACTTCTCTACGGATCGTTTTCCGGCTCCGACATCAGAGCCCCGCAGCTCCTGTGCGCGCTGTTCGGACACCTGTAGCGGACTGAGCCGTCCGCACAGACGCACACCTGCAGGCGGACCGCGGGGCTGCAGCGCCCCCTGCTGCCCCGGAGGAACGCGTGTTTGGTACAGGGTCACCACAGGTCACACTGCAGCACAAACACAGAGTAGTGGTGAAAAAGTGGTGTTTGTTTAACACGTGTGAGCAGATAATTAGTTCATGGCATCATTTTAATGCTGCAGCCAAAAATATTATCCCAACATCTATAGAAAATATGTCTGTAGGACATTTTAAAAGAAAAACAGTTAGCAGTCAAATTCAGTTGAACTGTACCATATGCTGTTGTCTATGTTGGAGTGTCAACCAGAGAGCTGCTGGTGATTAATTATTCCCAGTTTAATCATATGTGAACTAAACATCAACCATTAATGACCAATTATCAGATCTGATATTCAGCATTTTTAGAAATATTGGTGTCGTCTTTGTAAACTTTTCAAATTGCACCTTAGTCCTCACCTGGACAAACTGAAACGACTACTCCCCGTTTTTAAAAAAATCCCAAATAATTATTTTTGCAGTGATTTGTCTGAATATGAATATTAATAAAGTTTGCAAGGTGGCTCAGTGGTTACCCAAAATCTAAAGAGCAAGTGGGGATCTCATCATCTAGAAACCAGGTTAGGGATCTCTAAAGAAATGATTAATAACAATTAAAGTTTATTCCTTTTTAGACTTTTTTAAGGGCTGCAAGGTCTCTTGGTGGTTAGCACCATCGCCTCGCAGCTAGAAGGTCGCCGGTTTGCGTCCCGGTGAGGACGCTCGGGATCTTTCTGCGTGGAGTCTCCATGTTCTCTCCGTGCAGCATGGGTTCTCTCCGGGTTCTCCGGCTTCCTCCCACAGTCCAGAAACATGTTGAGGTTAATTGGTGATTGTAAATTGTCCGTAGGTGCTCGTTTGTCTTTCTGTGATAGACTGGTTACCTGTCCAGGTGAACCTGAGTCAGCTGAGATAGACTCCAGCCCCCCACAACCCTAGTGAGGATTAAGGTGTAGAGATAATGGCTGGATGATCTGCACATCATAAATAGTCCTAAATGTTTTCAAGAGGTCTGTTGAGAACATTCGTGAGTCCTGCTGCTGTAAACAAGCTCAAACACGACGACTACCTCACGTCAGCATCCACACACAGAAACACTAGAAGTTTTCTTCAAGCTGCCTGAACTCAACACATCTTCCAGCACTGAGCTCCCGTCACAGCTGGAACCCGTCTGAACACACGGTGGATTTAACCAAACTCCGAGGCAGCCATGAATCATTGACGGCATCTAGCAGGTTCTGCTCTGAACCACGTGATGTGTTTCACCTCAGAACACAGCGCTGAACATTCTTTAACGTTGCATCATGATGTTTGGCTGCAGGGCAGAAAACAAGCTGAGAAAGTGTTCACGGCTGTAAAGCTGTTATTAGGTTTAATGTCAGGGAGCGGCATTGGCACTGGTTTGGAAATATCTCTGTGTCTTGTTTGTGATTTGATTTAATCAGATTTGGATAAATGTCTGCCTCTGCAGTAGCTTTAATCTAAACACCTGACCTGAACACACAGATGATGACAGTGATTTGTGTGTTAGAGAAATCTGAACAATGAACTAAAGGGGAAGCGGTTACACCTCAGAGTTGGACACGTTTCCTCTGTGGACATATTAGAAACTAACAGGACAAACTTGTGGCCGTGAACACGATGCAGTCGCACGTTCTTGCTGATTCGGTCGTTTCCACCTGAGCAGCTAATCCTGTGGAGACCTGCTTCTCATCATCAGTGTCCAACCGAACCGTCCTTTAGTTCAGCGCTGACACAATCCCTCTGGCTCCACACAGCACCGTGGATCAGCTCCGTATGAGTTTGTGGCGGCGTCTCCTGAACACGACCAAGGAGGTGAAAGGAGTGACTTCATCCAACAAGCAGAAGCAACCGGCAGCAGTTAGCATCATCCACAGGAAGTCTGAAGAGACGGTTGGGTGCACAATGTTTGATAACTTGCTAAATTTATCTCCAATACGGGAAGGAATCAGGAAATGCCAGCAGCTACACCATCTCCTGGGAAACACTTAACTATGATTACTGCACTACCATGTTTTTATGTGTGTATTCTGTATAAATTACACATCAACATGCATACCGAGTACTAGATTAGATTTCTCTGTGCTATTATTAAATTAAAATGTGAAGCTTTTTATACTTTGATGTATTAAATCTCTTGTATTTTGTACTTGTGCTGCTCTGTGACCCTGTGATTTATTTATTTTTTTTTATTAAATTGAGCTTTATAACACTTCTTTATTCTCTTTTACCTCCTCTGATCATGTGACGTTTCTGCCGTTGAAACCTCGTCTGCTCTTTGCATCATTTGCAAGCGTGCAAATTCTGATTTGCATCATAGCTGCACCTTAACCGAACATGTTGGAGGCTAACAGGCCGTCCGATGGAAAGAGGCGCACAGCGGAAGAGCTGCGCAGAAGGAAAACATTACGATATGAACGACCTGCACGCTGTTAGAAAGATGCCATTTCTATAACTGGTTGGTCAGAAACAATCCGCCTTTACACACCTGTGAGGAACAAACGGCTCACATGGAGTCACTCAGGTGAACTGACTGAAGGCTTCACATGGAAAATGTGTAAAAAACTTCCTGGACCTCATTTAACATGCACACACACAATACAAATGCAGCATTTCCTCTTTAAAACCGCTGTCCATGGATCTATTTTAACAAAAACCCAGCTGCTCACCAAACTGAGTGATGACCCTTATACGATGCTGCCCACTCAATGTCAAACCGCTTTATAGACTTTCCCGTTTGTGATCATAAAACATCAAAGTCCTGAATCATTTCTTCTATAACCTGCAGTAAAACAGCCCGTTTATGGTCATAGAATAATGTCATAATCCTGATGTTTGTCATAAAGAAATTCACCGACACTGATACCAGGAGTAACTTTTACTCGTTTAAAGTCGAGGTCGGCCGATGGTTACGGCTCACGGGCTGAGTGTCGGTCATGTGTGGCAGATTATCACCGTGGAAGGAACGTGTTGGTTTGTTTGTCAAGTACCTGCTCACCTGAGATCTGATCACTGAGTTATCCACATATTGCTTGACATTAATGAGGCCACATCAAAGAGAATCGCACGTCGTCACTCATAACCGACCTGCTCAGCTCGTTAATCAGGTTAAGTTAATCCTCTGTAGACGCTCTTGTTGGTGTTTGTGCCGTCATATGTGGTGGACTTGTGCCAGTTGTTTGGGAAGACGACCTGTGAAGGCCCAGCTGAAGATGGTGCTCCAGAACCACACCCGCCAGACATCAGTGATGACTGCCCTGGAGTCCCCGACATAATCTCAGCCTTGTTCTCCCCACCTCCAGTCACATCTGATTGGACCAGCACCCAGTTCCCTCCTCCTCCACCCCAGCAATCACCACACCTGGCTATAAAAGCAACCAGCAAACTCTCAGTTGGGGCTGGCTGGGAGGGAGATTTGAGAGAGTCTTAGTGAAGACTGACTCCTGTTAGCAGCTGCACAACTTCGAGAAGAAGTTATTTGTGTTTTGTATTTTCGTACTGTGTGTTTTGAGGCACTAGTTTGTTTTAGTTTTTGTTATGTTTGGATGTTGCCATCAGATTTAAGTTTGGTGCTTTCTGTTAGCTAGCGTTCGACATTCTGTTAGCAACATCCAGCATCTTCTTTTGTGTCGTCACTGTTCTGTTATGTTCATTTATGTTACTGAGCAATAAATTGCTTTGCCTGAACCTCGTCGATCTGTTTTGTTTGTTACATCCAGCTGAACCTAGAGGCTGGATCGTAACACCTCTGATTGAAGGAAATCACTTGTATTGATGGGGCGGCTTTTCATACCGACAAAGGCCAAATGTCACTGAAGCAAAACCTTAAAGCTCCAGTAGAATAAACATTTCTTGATCTTTAAAGATCTCGATCTGGTGAAAACATTCCCATTTTGGCTTAAACCCCTGTTTTCCGTCACACAGACACAGTTTTCTCAGTGCTCTATCGATTGAAGCCCACTGATTGGAATATCCCGGATACAGTCATAATTCCATCCTGGACTGGGGGTATGATGATTAACATGTAGTGAGGATCTCCAGCACATCCTCCATTACCGCTGCTTGTCCAGGTGACTACACTCCTCCAGAAACCTCCTCAATCTTCTAGAATCAGTTCACCTTCTGTCCTTACATGTGGAGGATTTGCTGCTCTGTGTCACCACAGTTCTCTCCTATCGTCTCTTTTGGCCTTTTCTTCCTCACGATGTGAATTCTGCTGACGGGTAAGATAATATCAAATCCTACAGCCGCCTCTGTGGCATTTATCTACTCGTTTCGTGATCTCGCATGAACAGAAATACAAAGTTGGGGCAATTTTTTTTTCTCTTTTCCTGTCTAGTTTACTCACTTAGATCCTCTTTCCACAGGAGGAAGTGAATCTGAGGAGGAGTTGCTGCACACAAGCTGTCATTTCTGGAAATATTTCCTCATCGTTCGGTCGTCTAAAGCCTAAAGTACTGCTCAGATTATTGCATATTAAGTTTAAGGGTCAGGGACAGAAGAATAAATCAGTGTGGACTCAGTAGGGATGATATCAGGTACGAAACAGAGAAATGAAACCATTAAAGCCTCAGATTTAAACTTGATCACGTGTTTTTTTTTAACAATGGCTAACTGTCGATCCACCACTTCCTCCTGCTCATTGATTCATTACTTTCCTGTGTTGCGGCACGTTGCTTAAAAAACTGAATAAATACTTCTGCTTTTATTCCACTGAATACACTTTCGATCCTGATACTTCTCTGTCTTTACCGAGAAGGCGTTTCGAGTGACTTTAAGCTGTTGTCATTTATGGAGCCACTTCACTTGATTTTATTGTCTACATGCAATAACGTCCCGCTCAGCCTCAACTCAAACAGTCAGCAGGCGTGTGTTTTAACAGCTGCTTTGTCTGGTAGCATATGGCTCACAGGAAGCAGGCATTCAGTAGTAAAAAGTAGAAGAAGTAGTGACAAACACCTGACTAGAATAATCTGAGCAAATCAAATAAATCAGGGGCCTGGACTACGAAGCAGGATTTGGGGTTAGCGAGGTAACTTCAGGTTAAATCGTGGGTTTTCATTTCTACGACGATGGTTCTCTTCTTCCCGGGGTACATCACCATGGTAACTGATGCTGAACGGCTAACCTGCAGGTTCTGATGGAGGTTCAGATCACTGGGTATAAAAACACCTCCACTGTAAACCAGTTCTCTCCAGAAGGAGCAGAAAACAAAGCAGCTCCCAACAAAATGGCTTCACCAGCACTTATAGAAGACCTGCTACACATCGGAGCAGATATGAGCGACCACTGAGGAGTGTGAGGGGTTTTCAGGACCGTCAGAACCCCTTAGTGCCCCCTGACCAGGATCTCTATGAGCTCCTGGCTTCCTTCATCCATTTTTTCCTCCTGTTGGCTACAGACAATGTCAAAGCTGTTTCATATTTACTTCCATCCCAGTATCAGCCCTCAGCAGTAAACTGACTTCAGCATTAAAGCTTGTGTCTGTAGGATACGTTCATAAGTTCATAAGTTCTCCGTCCTGTCTCCCCTCTTATTGGTCACTGTCTGTTTATGTTTCTTGGACAGGATGTAACTGTAATTTCCCTGAAAAGGGATCAATAAAGTTCCATCTCTTATCTTATCTTAAGCTGCACCGCTTTAAATTATGTTTCTGTTTGTTCTTAATTTGCTCTTATGTCCTTTTTACACCTCCAGGGCTGCAGCTGGAAGTAAAACAAGTCAGATACGCCACAAGAATATACATCAGGCAGCACATGAGTTACAGGAATCCTCAGATGCATACATACATCATGATGGAGCAGTGATCACATTTTATTATAAACTAATGAACTGATGCGTCCACACAGGTAGCAGCTTCCTGCCTGCAACGCTGCTGCTTTCTGCTCCTATGATGTTTTTATATTATTCTTCAGACTTTGTAAACACTATATTCTGCTCTTCGGAGGTAAAGTGAGACACTCTGGTCCATAGTCGTGACTGGTCAGATGCTGATAACTCATTTTATGTGCACGCGCTCATACTCAGATCAGACAACCCTGGGTCGACTTACCGGGTTGATAACCACCGTCGTAGGACCGGGTGCCCTGAGTGCGATTGTTAGGATTAGTCAAGCCAGATCTCTGAAACATATCCCGGGTATGTTGGTCTGGCTTCGTAGTCCAGGCCCTATAAAGGTCTATAAAGGTTAAATCAAGATTATGCAATCAGGCTAATTCGATCCAGGTTTGAGTAATCCAGATAACTGTGCATGTACGCTAAGAGGTCAAAAACGGATCGAAAATCAATGAAAAATCAAAGTTTAGATTAGTCATAATAATTAATTAAATACACAAAAGTCAAAGTGTTCAACCAGTGATATGTGAGTTCTGTTCCCTCTTTAGCGAACTTTCTGTGAAGCACTTTCACCGTTTATCTCCTTAAAAACAGCCTCGACATCATATTTCAGGCTGCACTCGACAGTCAAGGAGGAGAAACGATAGCATCAACATTCTCTGGACTCCGAGACGCCAACGACAACCAGCTAAACCAGTTGAGTTATCAGTAACCGTCCACGAGGAAGGAGGAAGCGGAGACGTGCACCTGGAACATCAACCACTTGATTCCAGCTCACACTGATCTGGGTCACTCCATGTGATCAAGTTTAAGGCAGATAATAGAAACATCATCTGATACACTCACTGCTGGGATGAGATCTGAGGCCCTCATTGAACTATATCAAATTATTTTTCATCATCTAGTCAAATAAACTGTGTAACTGTCCAGAGAAGGTGAAGGAACAACGTGTGCAGTAATCTGAGACTCACCAATAGAGCTTTGATTCTTTACAAAAGCGTAACAATACATAAGAAGAGAAGTTTCCTCCTGGAGTGAATTAACATGATAATAACAGGTATTGTTTATTGTGTTAATGGCACACGGTGTGATTAATTCATGAGAGGAGGAGGTTCAAAAGAAGCATCCACTGTCTGCAGAGTGAGAACAAACAGGTCAAACAAAATCACATGCATGTTTCTGAATGCATAAAATAGTACTTTCACATCAAAATAAATACCTTATTTTATAACGTATTTCTTTCTGCTCTGCCAGAGATCAGAAATAGCGCCCAGGCTGTCGGCTTCATGTGCACATAATTGACATATTTGACAAGTGACATCTCTGAGATGCTGCGAAATCCTCCAGCAAGAAAACCACTTAATACACAGCCAGCCTTCTGTGACGATAATAATAAAATAAAATAAAAATACACGCCTCAGGCACACAGACTTCACACTTCTGTGACAGAAATGTGACGTCTTGATGTCAAACACAAACAGAAATAAGCAACAAATGTCCGTTTTTATATCAGTACTTGGTTCAAACATCCATGTGTTCGGTGGATTAAATATTAAAAAGCGTATCATAGATATGAGGCAAATATGAGGGAAAGAGCTGATGTGGAGGCCATGTCCTCAACCATGCACAGTTCTAAGCCTTAATATGGTTTAAACAGATTAAATATATATAAATGTAGCCCAGTGCAGTTTTCATAAATGGTAAGAAATAATATAAAAAAAGCTGTAGAGACAAAAATATTTTGTCTTACTGGGCTGTAATTTATTTATTTCTGCTGTAAAGTTGAACTTTTTAACATGAGGGCTCTCTGGGGATTGACTCACGTTTGGAGCCTCAAGTGGCCGCTCGAGGAACTGCAGCTTTTCCTGCTTCATCTTCCAGCCCTGGAGGCTCGCTTTAAAAGGACATCGTTCTACTGGCTGGAGGAGAGATTACCATCAGCTATGGACAAAACAAAAAGAAGCTCACGAGTTACTGGAATGACAAACATGTTTAACATTCTGTACACTCAGAGAACTGGTTGTTTTATCAGTAAACTGTCAGAGAGGGAGTGACATGAAGTGACGGCACTCACGTGTGGATATTTGGAATTTCAGCTTCCAGCTTCGCTCCTGGTGCTCTTATCTCCTCTGAGCTGACATTTGTGTCTGAAAACTCGCTGAAATGATAAAACTGGGCCTGATTATACTTTAGTTCTGTGTTCAGACAGACAACACAAACATCTCACATCTCACCGAGCAACAGTAATCCAGGTCGTATCAATCCCGTCTAAACATAAACACAAAAGGCGTTTCCTCCTGGAGATTCCCCACTTCAGCTCCCTGTGACAGGAATAATGTGATAAAGTCGTATTTATAGTGCGGGTGGGTGAGGCAGGGTGTGATTAATTCATGAGACGAGGTTCAAAGGATGCTTTCACTGTCTGCAGACTGAGAACAAAGAACAAACGGACGCGGCTGAAGAACGATTTTAATCCAGCTGTGCGACAAATACAAACAAAATGCATTAAAACGTGTTTTCACTGCAATCACATCAAAATAAATAGCTTATTTCATTACTCATTCCTCTTTAGTCTGGATCAGAAATAGTGCTCCGGGTGTCAGTTTCACGCTACTGACAGCAGATATATTCGACAAGTGGCGTCTCTCGGAGCGTCGCTGAGGCCTTGAGACGCCGTGAAATCCTCCAATAAGAAAATCACTTCATACACAGAGATCTTTCTTCGCTTCAGCAAAACAATCATGTAAACCGGTGTGGCTGTGTCTTCATTACAATCTAACGCACCGTGACGTCAATAACAAGACACATTTTGCTTTCACTGTCATTATCTTCATCGCCTCCTGATGCGGTTTGTTCATTTGCAGCATCCAGCGTGTCACGGATGCGAGGCAGAGAAGGAGGTGATGGGGAGGCACAGCAGGGAGCAGTAGGACGGGTGCAGAGGCTGGACTTGGCCCGGTAACGGCTTGTAGGACCTCCAGTCCGAGCTGCTTCCTGGTTTACAGCACAGGGACACGTCGCACCTGCAGACGAGGGCAGAGCTTCGCCGTGAGTACGCATTGATGCAAGACCCGCTTTTGGACAGAACCAGAACTTGTGAAATACGTGCATTACAGTAAATGTTTGACTTGTTTTTTTAGCGTTCCATCTCTTTATCCTCACTGTTATTAGTCATGTTGCGCTATTTAGATAATCTGAACAAATGTAAATATCAACATATCTGCACCCTCAATGTTCTACAGTCCCATGGTTCTTATTTAAACTTAATTCTTCACTGCACAGTTTTTTTAGCTTCTGCTTCTGCTTTTACTTTTATTTTTTAGCTGTTTTTATATTCTTATCTTGCACATTGGGCCTCACTGTTTATTTATTGTTGCACCAGAACAAATTCCTCGTATCGTGTAAACTATACCTGGCAATAAACCCGATTCTTATTAGTTATTTACTGTTTAATTGATTAAAGTACTCCTACTATGAGGTTTACTACTCTAACTACACTTTCCAATATAGTGTTTCCACTGCGCCACGTAATTAACAGCAGTTGCCTGCAAACTACAACATTTTCTTCTTTCAAAATGCATAAATCAAGTTCAGATTTACACTATAAATAATGCATCTTTAATCTTTCTGATCCAGCATTGAGATCTACCAACACTGTTTAACATTTAAAACGCCCACACCGCCAACACAACTAAAACAAAAAAGGATAAAGAATAAAGCAGGTTATATTTTAATAGAATATACGACAAACTGCAGTTACATCTTAGAAGCCACATGCTTAATGTTTGGAGTTAAGTGAGCGGTGATATTCTGAGCTGTCTAAATGAAGGTGGGAGTTTAAACACAATCCACACTGCTAATGTAATGCCTGTTCTTGCATTTAGCTCCAAAAAAGTCTGAGATTTTACCCAATTTAACTACTTTTTGGAAAAACTTTACACTAATGTTAGAAGCTGGCTGTATAGTTGCAGTGATTTATGAACTTAAAATGGAGTAAATTTCTGCACCTAAACTTCCTCTCCAGTGGATTAGACTTCTAAACATCTCCTCGTCAAGTTTACTTATTTATTTCCATGAGAACAAGCTCTTCTTTCTTTAAAATGGCCGAGATGTAGCTCGACACTGCTGCTTCCTTCCTGATCTTTAAAGTCCCTGCTGGTTAACCAGAGCTGATCACTGCAGCTCGAGCGCACCAGCTCACCAGCCTGCAAGTTGACACAACTGGTTCTTTACATTTGTCACATATGAAACCCCAGAAGTCTGAATCTGTTTTTGTTTTTTTAAACTCTCATCAATACGCTACAGTTTCAGCAATGACTACTCATTTAGCTTATTTAGCTCCTGATGTGTCTCCAGCATATGAAAAGAAACCAAAAGGACACGTTAATGAGGCTAAAAAGAAAGTTTTGAGTTAACGATTTGAGTACTTTTTCTCCCTGCAGTCAGAGGCGATGCTCGGTCGTACCTGGTGACACTCTGGATGAACTTCTTCTCGTCCTGGTCCAGACACACGGCGAACGTGGTGCCGTCGTCGCTCCGGCTCACCTGCACCTTGTCCACCTTCACCTCTGACACCGAGATGTGCTGCCCGAGGAGAAGAAGAAGTGTTTAGGATCGGCTGTGTGGGATTTTGTTTAACGTTCAGAACGTCCTTCACCTGGTTGAAGCTCTTCTTAGACTTGGAGCACTGCCTCTTCAGGACTTCTGCCATCGTCAGCTGGAGGCTCTCTGTTGAATCTGGATGGACACCAAATGCAAACAAAAACATAAGTAACACAAAAAAACTAACGCATGATGAGTTGGATGGGCTGGTCACACACCTAGCTGCTCTGGCTTCCTGCAGGACTTGTAGAGGTTGATGGATGTGCAGACTATTTCGGTCTGGATCCACTGACTCCTCCCACTGACAGCCACCTGACAGATTGAAGAAAAGCTCCAGCTGTGAACCAAAACACACTCAGTGTTATTGTGTGTGTTGCAGGAAACGTGTATAGGAACAATACCTTGTTGTAGGCGACGCTTAGCGTTACAGGAACAGCCTCCCGCTCCTCGTCGATTCCAAACCTTTTGCTGGCGGCTCCTTTATAAACAACACAGAACACATTAGGCTGTATGTATGCATGCATGTGTGTGTGTTGTTTCCTTTTGTGTGGATCAGAGTGTAACCCACCCATGGCCTTCACAGCTCTGGTTCCAGCAGAGTGTCCGAGCTCCAGGGAGTGAATGAACACTTCCCGTCTCCTCTCTCCACCGGCCAGGGTCAGCTGTGTGCAGGAAGGAACCAATGAGCACTGATTGATGGTCACTGTGTCCTCTGTGTGTGTGTGTGTGTGTGTGTGTGTGTGCGCGGTGCTCCTCTGACCTCGGCCTGGTAGAGCTGCACCAGAACCGGCTGGTCGGCGTGTCTGCAGTAATAAAGCACCAGGTCGGCCAGCAGGGGAAGACGCTCCGTGCTGCTGCTGCTGCTGCTGCTGGCGGACACGTCTTCGTCCTTAGAGGCAGCCTGGGTCAAGTAAAGGTCACACAACGCATCAAACAGCACAGCTACACAACAACCACTGATCCCTAAGTGACCAGAAAAGGAGCCTCTAAAACATCGGTGTCAAACTCATTTGACCCACAAGATAATATCAAATGTCGATTAGAGCTGGTCCGCTGGTATGTAGCGCCTGTAGAGACGAATCTGTGGAAAGTTATCACTAGTGCTGTATTAAAAATTCAAACTGGGGGGTCATGAACACAAACTTATGTTATCTTGGGGGTTAAAGAAGTTGGACACCCATGCTCTAAAAAATCAACTGTGTGTCTGAGATGGAGCAATAATGGCATAAATGTCAACACAACAGTCTCCTCTCTCACTAAACTACTCAGTGGATTTTTCCCAAACCAAAAAAGCTTTAATGTGATCACAATAAAAATAAATCCCCCCCACATGCAGAAAGTGACAGATTTAAAGTTGGATTAAGGTCATTAATCACAAGCAGCCATTAAAACAAACAAAAAAAAGTCTCCAGACAGTCAGTAATCCCTTTTATGAAGCTGGTAGACGTCCATTAGAAAAAAAACAACAGTCAGAAATGAGCAGCTTACGTCTGTTTAATGTTATTTTTTTATTCTTTAGCTCTACAGACGCTGCTTCCTTTATTCACTATAATACAGCTGAACAACCTTTTGTCATTGGAGTCATTCATTAATTAACAGGCAAGCAACCACATCTTATATCCAAACCCAACCATTTATTTATCATCTCATACTGACAGACTTTAAAGATTTGCATTGTTTTGTATTTATTGGTTCAACAGGTGCACATTAGCTGCTACCTATAACTTCTAATGTTGTGCTGTCCCTGCAAACTAAACTAAAACTCCCACTAAACTGTGAGCCGTACCTGACAGAGGACGTCAGACGACAGGCTGAGCAGACTGAGGACGTTGCGCTCGTACCAGGGATCCATCAGGCCCAACATCTGGGCCACATCTGTCGTACTGTCCTCCATGACGACGCCGTTTGACTCCTGGAAGTATGAAAAACTATCCATTATTATTACTTCAGTTAATTCAACACATTCATTATAATAGGCTGCATTACATTATCCGTTCTGTTGTGGAAATGTTGCGGCAATAAGAGTTTAACAATCACTGGATTATAAAAAAAAATCCTCCTTCAGGGAAATAATTTGTCTTGTTTGTACTTCAGCTGATCAGGTGGAACGTCTCCAAAGGAACACTTGTGCACAACATCCATCCATCCATCATCTCTACACCTTCATCCTCACTAGGGTCATGGGGGCTGGAGTCTATCCCAACTGACTCAGGGTGAAGGCAGGTTCACCTGGACAGGTAACCAGTCTATCACAGGGCTACACTTAGAGACAGACAACCAAGCACACTCACATTCACACCTACGGACAATTTACAATCACCAATTAACCTCAACATGTTTCTGGACCTTGTGGGAGGAAGCCGGAGAACCCGGAGAGAACCCACGCTGCACGGGGAGAACATGGAGACTCCACGCAGAAAGATCCCGGGTGTCCTCACCGGGACGCGAACCGGCGACCTTCTAGCTGCGAGGCAACGGTGCTAACCACTGAACAACCTTGTGCAGAACATCTGGCCTAAAATTACTGATTTAGCAAGTTGTTTAAAAAACTAATTAACATTTATACTTTTTGCTTTTTGCTTCATCTACAGTGCCTCATAATTTTGATTATTTACTATTAAGTCAGAAGTCACTAAAAATTAAAGTCCAATGTTAGATGAGAAGATCAACATCACCTCCTGGAGGAAGAAAACTGCTCCTCAGCATAAAATAGAGATATTCTGCCACAAACAACTGAACTTTACCTGTTAACTGTCACCAGTGTGCTGACTTCTAATCTTTGGATTTGTTTGATTTATTTCTAAAGTTCTGGAGGATAATTTTCTTCAGTCTATCATATTGTATGCTTTTACTCTTTAATCAGTGAGATTAGTTTGTATAATGCATAATACTGCAGAGTCTTCACTTCAATATTTACATTAATCAGCTAATTTATATAATAAATGTTGCAAATTCATAACATCAGTTTTGCTTTTGCACTGTTAAGCCTTTATGCTGAATGTCTGTAGTTTTAAATGTTCTATTAATTTGACTTTAGTGAGTTTCGAGATTTCTTTGGGAGGTGGATTTTGTTTTCTTTGGACACTTCTTCTTGATTTCAGCTGCTGGCTTTAGCCTCGTATTTAATGTACAAACATGAGAGTGGCTTCAGTTTTCTGTATGCAAGAAAACAAATGTCGAGCCGTCCTTTAAAAGTCTCAACACACCACACTGAGGTTGCTCTAAGTCGTGACTGATCCGTTCATATAGAGATGAAACCCTGACTGAAATCGGATGCGGTGGTTTCACATGTTCTCACCCCAGAGGCTGTGGTTTTGGTTAAACCTCCGTTCTGGCCTTCAGCTGGTCCTAGTCCTCCTCCCGGGCTTCCACTTCTCCTTTTGGTGGGAACAAAGTAAAACTGCAGCTTGCACATCTTGGTGAGTCGGGGGCTTTTGCTCTCCTTCTGCTGCAGGTCGCTGTACGCTCTGGCCAGCCGGCCGGCCTCCCGGTCGCCTCCAAACACCACCACTTTGATCAGGGTGGGAGCTTCTGCCACGCTGCCCTCATCGCAGCTCAGGATCGGCCTCCGGCGCATGCACACGTGCTTCTGGGGGGAAAGAGGGTCCAGCAGAGCGGTGGGCACGTGAGGAGGACGGGCCTGTCTGGACAGAGAGCGGGAGTGCTTGAGCTGTAGTCCGGCTCGCTGGAAGTCTCTGGTGGTGTCTCCGTGGAAGCCCATGCTCTGGGCGCGGCGGCAGATGTTTGGACTGCGGGGGTTCTTGAAGAGCATGGAGAAGCGCTCTATGCCCAGGAGGGATCTGGACTTCTTCTTGGGCTTCTTCCTGGGCTTGGGTTGGCTGTCCTGTCCTTCCTCGGTGTCCTCGTGCGCCGTGTCCTCGCTGAAGTCGCTCTCCACGCCGGACGAGCCGGACGGCACCGACCAGCTGGAGGAGAGCGAGTAGCCCGAGAACATGGAGTCCCGAGACGACGAGGACGCGGTGGAGATGCGATGGCTCTGAAACTCGTGATCCACTTGGTCTCCGTCTAACTCGTCCTCCTCGTCCACGCTGGTGTCGTTGTTGTCGTCCTCGTCCATGTCCGCGTTGAGGAAGCAGTCCGGAGGGGAATCCAAGTCGGAGTCGGAGGCGAGGACGTCCTTCAGGATGTCTGCGTAAAGGTAGAGAGCAGAGTGTTGGATGTACGATGGGGTAAGACGGGATTTTAAAGTTGATAATTGGTTTAAAAGATTGCACATAGCTACCAAAATTATCGTTTTCCCACGAGCATGTGTGACACTTGGGGAAGGGCAGCATGAACGTCTCAACAGCCCCTAACGAGAGAAGACGACACTGAGATTATTCTTCTTACACTTTTTATTTAGGATTAAGCAAATTGAAAACAACAGCTCTCATGTCAGTTGGTGTGTTTTCTGTAATACCAGAGTTTGGACCCCCATCAGCAGGAACAGCGAGGCCTTCCCTGAGCCTCCTCATGCTGTGGGTCAGAACCTGTCTGGCTGTCCTGAGGTCTGCCGTGGATGTGGCTGTCTCCATGCTGTCGGTCACCGCCTCCAGGAGCTGCTCCAGCTCCTCGGGCTGCTTCCCCTGGAGGAATATCAGGAGGGATTGCTTCATAAAGCACAGGAGGAGAACAGGAAGGAACTGTGCTTGCAAAAAGAAAGTGCTGGTGAGTCACCTGCAGGGCGGCGTGGAGCGCCTGCAGGTCGTGGTCGGTGCCCAGAGCGGCCTGAAAGCTGTGCAGGATCAGAGAGATGGTGATGTCTCTGCTGGACTGCTGGGTGGAAGTCAGCTGCTCAGAGACAGAGTGGACCTCCGGAGGAACGTCGTCATCCGGGCTCACCAGCAGCACCGTTCTGAAGCAGATGTTTAGCTTTAGTCATGGTCGCTAAGTGGCATTTTTAACATCTGTCACTGAAATGTGCATGAGCTTACATGGTTTTAGAGCAGTGGACCTCTGGGGAGATGCTCTGCTCCGTCCTCACCAGTCGCTGAAATGAAATACCTGCAGATCAGACAGGAGCAGACGGAGCGTTAGCAGGTGAACGCTGCCCTCGTGTGGCCACAGAGATACATGACCGGCTAAGGTAGTGCTGCTTGTGTTGTCAGATGTAAGAACCAGAGCTCAGTTATCATCACTGGTCACTTCAAACGTGTTCATACCAAACTGTACGCTAATAAAAACCATTTAAAAGTGGATGTTTTCCATTTGCTCAAAGGTTAGATTGGTCTAGTTTACAACTAGCAGCAAGAAATGAATATGCCAACCCCAAATCCATTACTCTTCGCAGTTTCAACCCTTTATCCCTATTTATCACACTTTAGCAGTCTGTTTTAAACATTAACTCACATTCATTGACCCTTAGTTAACTGTTTCAACCATTTATCCATATTTATCGATTACTTTTAGCTTTTTCAATCATTTATCCACATGCATCGATATTGTATTTTAGTTAACTATCTCAACAATTTATTGAACTTTAGCTAATTATTTTGACCAATTATTCCCTCATTTTGACATTTGAGCCATTTACCCATATATATCTTTTACTTTTAGCTAACTGTTTTAGTTGTTTATCCATATATATATCTTTCAGTTTTTGCAAACAACTAAAGGGATTTATTATATTTTACTTTTAGCGAACTAACTTAACCTTTTGTCCATATTTATCTTTTATTCTCAGCTGAGTTTTCAGCCATTTATCCAAAATATTATACTTTAAGCTCATGATATCAGCCATTTACACATATTAATCTTTCACTTTTATCTAACGATTTAAGGCATTTAGGCCATTTATCCGTGTTTAGCAACCTTAAGCTAACTAAACTATTTATTCCTCAGTCTTGGCTAACTGTCTAACCTGACCAGTTACTTTAACATCGTTAGATAATAGACAAATTTGTGTTTTTTTGCATTTTTATATCTATGTATTATTTTAGTTTTTCAACTGTTTTATTAGTTTTAGCAACCTGTTTTAACCATGTTTTTTTTAAAATTTAGTTTTATGTAAGATGACCCTTTACACTGAGCTATATATTCTAAATATTATTTACGGGTTTTATTTTTATTAGCTGATCTACTTTACAATCTACCCGCTGCTTTACACGTCACCCTGGTGGGATTATTAGGTTCAACACTGAAGTGACATTTGGTCTTTTTTCACTGTGGTGCATATCAGCGTCGGTGCAACCTGGTGCTCGGAGCTCCTGCTGGATGACGTTCAGCAGACGTTTGCAGGCAGAGCTGCAGGGCTCGGGCCAGGCCAGGAAGCTATGGAAGAGCAGGTAGGCCTCCTGCAGCACGCCACAGTCTGCAGGCACGTAGGGAGCCTGCAAGAGGCAGAGAAGAAGCCTGGTCACGAGAGACACTAAAAATGTTTTATTGTGCAATGACTATTTAAAGCTGAAAATTAACACGTCTCTGCTGGTTCCTCTACTGACTGCATCGACTCACTTTAAGCAGCGTTGACGAGAACAAGAGCGTGAGAGGCACCACCAGCTCGTAGCGACACTGTTCCAACACCTGCAGAAGGAAGGAAAAGACGCCGTCACTCCTCACATCACAACGACCAGTTCATAAAACGGTGTCGGGTTTGTCCGGTTCATCACCTCCTTTGTTTTCCTCAGTATTTTCTGCAGAAGGATGAGGAAGTTGTGGGCATCCCTCTTCACAAGTTCCTCCAAACACCAGCGATTTATGCACAGGCCAGCTAATCGGACAGACGAAAACACAAAAACCTGAACTCGCACGCTATTTCTCCTTTTGGGTTTCCTTCTGATCAGTAAACAGGCGATTAAAGCAAAAGTCCTGAATAACAACAACATGATTACTTTGTGTATCTGAATGAAGCTTTCTTTAGACATGTCAAGATCAATCTTACAAACATAAACGCAAAACTTTCTTCCATTTAAACCGTGTGTCACTACTTTCAGTTCCCATTTTTCTCTAAAAGATGAACAATATGTTCTCAGTTTGTGACAAATCTCCACATTTCAGTAAAGTTAAATGGCAGCTTTTACATTCGTTTTAATAAATCTGTACATTTTCTACGCTGGTTTGCAATCAGAGTGACAGATAATATAAATCTGAGTGTAAATAAAAGCATCTATCGTATTGTTTCGTGTGTGTTTTCTTTGTCGTACCGTTCCAGAGCTGCTTGTCAGGCGTGTCGAGGCCCAGGTCGCACAGGCAGCGCTCCAGGACGTGCTGGATTCGATCCTCGGTGCAAGAACTCTGCTCCATGGTCTGGATCATCTTCTGCAGACGAGCACGACAGAAGATAAACCAACAGGAAGGCCCGAAATAAAGAATCACACCCTCCTATTGTGTTCTGGTGAACCAACGCGTCCCTTCGGTGAAAACCAAACTTCCTGTTACCGAAGTGGGCCACCGCTTTATTATCATCGTCGTTCCTGTCCGGAAACAATCAAACACAATCAAGAACGAGAGATTCGCAAACAGAAAACACGGCAGATGTCAGGACAGGCGGATCTGATCTTCTTACCCAAGCCTCTGAGTCACAGACTGCCTGAGCACGGCGGAGACGAGCTGGTGGAAAAACAGCAGCCGCAACTTCTACTTTTTCATTCTTAAAATCAGCTGCCGGCGGCACCACGTTTTCATATGAGTCAGAGTCGGGGTGGAAATGAATCTGACAAAAGCACGACTTCCCATTTAATCCTCACTCGACTCAAACTAATACTAAAGATGGTGATGATTTGATTTCTGGGTTTTGCTTAGTCCGGCTCCCATGTGACACCTGTGGTCATCTACTGGATCGTTCTGAGGTTAATGAGGAGGAACGTCTCCTCCGTCCTTCACCTCCAGGATGTCGATGGTGTCAGGAAGCTGTGACTGGAAAGCTGGGCTCACCTGAGCCCAACAAAACAGGAAAAGGCCTCCAGAGGCACGCAATGTGGATTAAAGCTGTGTCAAGCTTATTTGTTAAGGCGAGGGGTGATGAAAATCTGCATCTGAATCAGTTAGAATATTCATTCAGTAAAGAGCGAGTGCACAAGAGCAGCTTCTAGATGTGAACTCAAGTAACCCCTCATCAATGATTCCAGTCTAACCAGACATGTCAGCGTTTTCATCAACTTCTTCTAGCGGATTTATTTACTTTATCTTCCCTTATTTAAATTTAATTCACTCATTTGACTGCAAGTCCACCTCCAGATACTGAATTAAACTTCTTGCACTACTCAACAGAAGCTAAATAATAATAATAATAATAATAATAAAAAAAAATCAAAAT